TTTTATTTAAAATATATTAGGGGAATTAAATTATAAGTTTTCTTTATATACTGAAGATGGTCACATTAATGACCGAAACGTTTATAATTATGTAATTTTAGTTGTATTAAATATACGAGAATTTCGCTACTTTTAACCAGCGTGTGGTATATGCTCCTTCTTCTTATTTCCATTCTTTTAGATTTGAATTTTTAATTGTGTTTTTTTAATAAAAAAAACTTATAAATGAGATTAAAATGAAATGATTAACAAAATTATATACAAGGATTCTTAATTTTATATTGTACTCTTTAGTCGTATATGTATATTTTGATATGAACTTTTCTTGCTTAAGAATTATTTAGATACGTATTATGTCGACTTACGTATATTTTTGGAAAACTCTAACCCCGGATCTACAATAGGTGTTTCAAGCCTTAAGCCGTAAGAAATTAACTAATTAACAGTCGAATTCGAGAAGAATAATTGATTATGATACGTCCATTTCTTATGGCTTAAGGCTTAGAACTCTATTGTAGATCCGTGGTTAAGCCCATGGCATAGTTATTGGCAGCATCCAATCGCTCCGTATCGAATCATGCGTCTCTCTTTCGAAATAATTATTTGGAAAAATTGAATCGGTACGATTCTGTGAAAAATTGGATCGATTCCGAAAGAATCGAGAAATTAAATAATCGCTTGAGAATATATTCTTCAAGAGCAAAAAGAATCGATTCTCGATGCATCGATACAAGAATCGGCATCACTAGTTAACATAGCAATTAGATTTCCTAACCTACAGTGATGACATAGTCACAACATAGTCGTCAACTTTAACGTTAAATATCCCGTTTCGTAGAGCAGAGCAGGCCTGACGAGAGGGGGGGTGTAACGGGGTGATTCCCCCCGGGCCCGAATTTTTTGAGGATACCGATTTTCTAATAAATAAATGAGCTAGCCTGTTCACCGAGCAACTGAACATGATTAGTTTTTACCTATATGAAGCCAACCAAACATGTTCATTCGCTCGGACAGACCTAGCCGCTTTGCTAGCGTGAACTCGTTCATAGTTTCTTATTTTTTGTAAAACATTCTAAATTGGTATAGATTACGAATAATGTACGTAAATAAATGTACGTAACTAAATATATAAAAAAATAATTTTATCAATCCTACCAGATTCCTTTTGAACTTCTTCTAGCTGATGTATAATCTAAAGAATAATTGCGGAAAACAAATTAATTATTTAATCGGAAATTTTTAGAGAGAAATTATATTATGAAAGTAAAAGATGAGAAAGTTTGTTTTGATCAACAAAATATTTTAAGAGTAAGAAAAAAATTTGTATATTCTGAAAATTGATCGGAAAATACAGAAAATATTAAATAATCAAATATATACTATATGTATATAAATGTTTTATATAAAGTACGATAAACATTAGTATAGTTAGAATCGCTAAGATTATATCAAACAATAGCGAAAACTGCCTAATGCGGTTTAAAGCGGATCTTTGTGCTGGATAATATTCATACGTGAATTTTACAATTTCCAGCTCATGAAAACTGCGCGCCGAATGATTGTCGATCTTGATTGTCTTGAAATACAGTTTTAAACTGAATCCGAAGTACATAATGTCACAAATTAAATTGACAAGCAAATTAATAATTTGATGTTAATAAGCATTATTTTAATTCCTGTAAAATAAAAAATGTACAGTGTTATACAAGTTCTAAAAATTATTTATATAATTTAAACAGACCAAAGAATGATTTGCAAGAATGAATAGAAGTAGATAAGTTGTAGCAGCGGAATCAAATGGGTGCAAAACTTAGCTTTTTAATAGTTATTTTTGTGACTAAGGAGTAAAAGTGGTTTTTACACCCGGAGGGTGTTCGACGGCACGAGGGCTGGCGAAGCCAGCCCGAGTGTACGGTCGAACACACGCGAGTGTGAAAACCTTACTCCCGAGTCGCAAACAAAATTTTTCGTACTAGGGAGCTGTGAAGGTGGGGAATGAGGTTCATGGATTGTTTTGCTGAGTGCCCTAGTATGAAAAATGAATTTTTAACTTTTAACTTTTCAATTACATTTTATTATTAACTTGACTTTTAATTCAATTAATTTCAATATACATTAACTTGTATCTTAACTAAGTTAAATTTTCAAGGTTGATAACTTTAACTTTTAACTTACAATTAGTTAAAAAAAAAAAAAGTAACTTACCCAACCCTGGTAGCAAGTATGTGAGAGTAGATACAGGAAAATAAGAATTATAATACGGATATATATATATAATCATATATATATTAATTATATACAAAAATCAACGTAATTAGGGGTCGATTGAAAAGTTTAAAATAATAACGGCGACAAGTAGGAAACATACACGCGTAAAAATATTTACCGTCCGTAGAAATTGCGAGAAAGTCGCGAACGTTAAGAGAAGCGATTGCGAGCAGAGAGCAGAGGCGAAAAGAAAGGAAGTCGATCAGCTGACTCGGTCCGAAACAGACGTGTCACAATACACTGAAAATAAGAGTGAGATTCCGCGAACTTGACTAGGATTCAACGAATATAATCACAGCCCGCACCGATTTGTGCATATATTTCTTTCGAGCTAATAAATTC